AAAGGGGGTGAATTTAAAAAGGGGGTGAATTTAAAAAGGGGGTGAATTTAAGGGAGGTGAATTTAAGGGGGGTGAATTTAAGGGGGGTGAATTAAAAAGGGGTGAATTTAAAGGAAGAAGAAAATTTCACAGTAAAGAGTTGCTGGGGAAGAGTCTGCAGTGAAGGCAAATGGCTGAATTGGTGGCTCTTGTCTTGTTTTAAACCCTCAGGAGCCCAAAATGACTCGTTCCAAACTGAAGGAGGTTGTGGAGAAAGGGGTGGTGAGTCTGAAATCTGCTTTTACTGTTGCACCCTCCCCTTTCCCTGGGTGGGGAGCAGGGGCAGGGCCTGAGGGAGCAGCTGGAGCTCTGTCAGGGGAGGGTTAGGGGAATATTGGGAAAATCCTTCCCCCAGGGAGTGGTTGGGCACTGAGCAGGCTCCCCAGGGCTGCCAGAGCTCCAGGAGGGTTGGGACAACCCTCTCAGGGGCAGGATTTTGGGGTGTCCTGGGCAGGGCCAGGAGCTGGGTTTGGATGATCCCTGGGGGTCCCTTCCAGCTCAAGGTGTTCCGTGGCTGGTTTGGGGTTTGGGGCCTCCTGAAGGGAGTTTAAAAGCTCTCACATGGTGGTGGAGTCTTGCAGTGGGAAAAAAAAACAGTTAAAAGGGTGTAAAAGAGAGTTGGTTGGAGCTGAGCAGCACAGGGCAGGGCAGGGCAGGGCTGGGCAGGGAATCCCTTTGTCCAGAGGCTGCTGCCTGGAGATCCCAGGAGGGCTTTGGAGCCTTTGGCTGAGCTCTGCTTCTTGCTTGGCCACTGTGCAGGTGGGGCTCAGGGGCTCCTTGGGTTTAAGAACTCCCTTTAAGCTGTGGGAACAGCTCTGAAGCAGCTCTGGGGTTTCTGCTCTCCCCAGGTGATCCCGACGTGGAACATTTCCCCCATTAAGAAGGCGAACGAGGTGAAGGTGAGTGGGATCTTCTGGATCCTCTCTGGGCTTTGGGGTGTTCCCTCAGTCAGAAATCTCTGCTCTGACCCTGTTAATCCTGCCCATTAAAAGCTTCCCACCCTGGGACAGCAAAAATTCCTGTGACAAATCCCCCCCAGGGTTGTTACTTCGATTTTATTTTTTTTTTAATTTTTGTACTGATTTCTACCTTTCCCCATAAAATATTTGAGCAAATTGAAGAACTTTGCACGGCCTCTGGCTGCTTGTGCCCATTTCCCTATTCAAAGGCAGGACGCTGAGTCTCTCTGATGGGATTTAGTGCCTCCCATAAGTGAAGAAATCACTTCTGTTGTGCTGCAGCCACCCCAGTTTGTGGACATTCCCCTGGAGGAGGATGATTCATCTGATGAGGAGTACCAGCCTGATGATGAGGATGAGGATGAGACTGCAGAAGAGGTGAGTGCAGCTTGTGCAGAGGCCTGAGGCAGGAAAACCCTCTTTGTTTTAACACTCATGAATCATCCCGGACCTTCTAGTGATGTTCCTTTGTCGCTCTGTTATTAACTTGGCTGAAAAAGAGCCTCTGAGGTGTTGGCTGGAGCAGAGTTTGAGGCCCTTCTGCCTGTCTTGCCCTGCAGAGCCTGCTGGAGAGTGATGTGGAGAGCACGGCCTCCTCCCCTCGGGGGGCCAAGAGGTCCCGGGCCCGGCGCTCGTCCGACGAGGAGGGGGGGACCCCCTGTGAGGTAACCCCGGGGGGGAGCCCCTTCCTCCTTCAGAACCCGGGGGGGAGCCCCTTCCTCCCTCAGAACCAACCCACAGTCCTCCTTCCTCATTTATTAGCCCCACATCCGGGTGCTGGGTGGATTTAGGGTCCCCCTGCCTTGGCTGCTGCGTGGCCACTGAAGTCCAAAATAAGCCCTTAAAGCTCTTGGGGTGGAAACAGTTGTCTCAGGTGATAATTATTGTCTCAGATAATGGTTATTTTTCTGGTTATTTCTGGGAGGAGTGCAGGGGAGTTGCTGGCTGTGCTTGGCTCAAGAGGAGAAAGTGGGTTTTGTAAAAGCATGAAGGTGTTTCTGGTGACTCTGGGCACCAGCACCTCAGTGGGAGTGGAAGGTGCAGAGTGATTAAGGACCAAGGATCAGCAGAGAAGGGCAAGACAGTGCCTGAGAGCTGACCCTGCAGTCAGAAAGAGCAATATTATATTGATATTTCCCCCTTCTGCTCACCGTGGGCTTGGATTCTGCCACAATAACTCGTTTATCAGCTCTAGAAATGTTGAGGCTGATACTCAAACCCTCCAAATATCTCCTTTCCTGCAAGTCTTGACGTATCTCTGTGCTTTCTGAGAGCCAAAGTGAGTGTGACACGAGGAATCCATTTCCTCCTGGGAAGCTTTTCCCTCCTTCCTTCTTGTGCCAGGCCAGGAGAGAAAACAACAACAACAACAAAAAAAGAGAGACTTTATTCTGTCCTTTGGAAATCCGTGCTCTAAATCCAACCTTTTAACACCAAGGCCTCTCTGACTAGGTGGAGAAGGTCACTCCACCTGCTGTGAGGCACATCAGTGCCGAGGTTGTTCCCATGGGGCCTCCACCACCTCCCAAGCCCAAGCAGAGCAAGGACAGCACGTTCATGGAGAAGCTGCACGCGGTGGACGAGGAGCTGGCCTCGAGCCCCGTGTGCATGGACTCCTACCAGGTACAGCCCGGGGGGGACACCTGGGCACAAATCAGGGGGATTTCTGGGGTTTGCTGCCCCTGCTCTCGGTGCAGTCTGCCCTCCTTTGAATCACAAATGGAGCCCTGAGCAGGCTGGGCTGGGGAAAGTGTCCCCTGTTGGGACAGGGTGATTTTTAAGGTGCCTTTAAGGTCCCAAACCCTTCTGTGGGGCTGTGATCCTGTGGAATTAGATCTCCACAATGGCTCTGTGGGAGAACAGAAGTAGCTATAGTGTGTATATGTATATATACATATATAAAAAATATATATATTATATAGATAATGAAGGAATGTTGTTAGTGACACAGACTTTTAGTTTCTTGTAGCTACACTTCGTCTTTGTGCTCGTGAGTCTCTCACTGCCTTTATTTTGGCTGTTAAAGGCACCTCTCTGACATTCAGTGAGAACTATTTCTGCAAGCAGTCCTGTTGGCTGAGTTGTGGTTTGCAGGAACAGGTTTTACTATTTACCATTAACTGTTTACTATCAGCTCTTTACTGGCTGAGGAAATTGGTTGTCCAGTTTATTGGGAACTGAGCTCAGTTCCAAATTGGAGCTGAGGAAATTGCTTGTCCAATACCATTTACTGTTAACTATTTACTATTAACTAACTATTTACTATTAACTGTTTACTATTAACTAACTATTTACTATTAACTGTTTGCTATTAACTATTTACTATTAACTGTTTGCTATTAACTAATTATTTACTATTAACTGTTTACTATCAACTAACTCTTTACTATCAACTCTTTACTATTAACTAACTTTACTATTAACTAACCCTTTACTATTAACTATCTATTTACTATCAGCTAACTATTTACTATCAACTATTTGCTATCAAATAACTCTACTATCAACTATTTACTATTAACTAACTTTACTATTAACTCTTTACTCTCAGCTATTTACTATCAACTAACTATTTACTATTAACTAACTTTACTATCAACTATTTATCAACTATTTACGATTAACTAACTTTACTATCAACTAACTCTTTAGTATCAACTATTTACTATCAACTCTCTACTATTAACTAGCTTTACTATTAACTATCTGTTTACTATCAACTATTTACTATCAACTAACTCTTTACTATTAACTAACTCTTTGCTATCAACTATTTACTCTTAACTCTTTATTATCAGCTATTTACTATCAACTAACTCTTTACTTTCAACTATTTACTATTAACTAACTTTACTATTAACTAACTTTACTCTCAACTCTTTACTCTCAACTAACTCTTTACTATCAACTATTTACTATCAACTAACTCTTTATTATCAACTATTTACTATCAGCTAACTATTTACTATCAACTATTTACTATCAGCTAACTCTTTGCTATCAACTCTTTACTCTCAACTCTTTACTCTCAACTCTTTACTCTCAACTCTTTACTCTCAACTCTTTACTCT